TTTTTTTTTTTTTTTCTACCGAACACTATCATCTATAATGGGTTTTTGTCAAAATGCAAAAATTTTGTCGGTAAAACTTTCGCACATCTTTTACTCGTCATCAGTCTCAGATTTATTCTGATTAATTTTTACGCACCTATGACTAACTATCGTATAAATATTTGCATCCTTGCCGCGACACCTTTTGGTTGTCCAAGGCTAAAAAAATATACCTTTGTGTTTGTCGTTGATGTTCTAGTAGTTACAGTTTTTATTGAACGGAATATTCCTTTTAATTTTCCAACATTCATCCATCAGTCGTGGTGGTTGGACAGAAAACGGCAGAATACAACAAGTTTCAGAAAAGTGACATTTGTACACGTAGATTTTTAGGACTGTCAGCTGTAATTTGATTGTGAGCGGTAAAAAAATTTAGAAATCAATTGAAGCTTAAAAAAATAACTGTTTAAGATTATTAACACAAAATGGGAGTATCAGATGTACAATGAACATTGTTAAAGATTAAAGCAGTCCGTATATGTGGGACAATTGGACGTCTACTGAACAAAGGAATTACATTTCTGAATATTTACTAAACAGCACCTTTGTGATAAAGGATGTGTTACGGTTAAATGTTCTTTGAAAATTCTGCAGCGAAGAATAGTGCAACGTTGTCTAGATGAGTAAGCGTTCAGAAAACCTTGAGAATATTTTTGGAAAAGTTTCATATTAAGAAATTTTTAGGCACCAACCATAGGTTTGAGGTACGACCGGTGAATACAACTGAAAAAAATATATTCGTATAAAACTGTAGAAAGTAGACTGAGCAATGTTGTAGGTGTGCTGGAGTACTGTAGCCTAGTTTATCGCCGTTGCGTAAGTGTTGTTGCAGGTAGCGAACGGAAGCGAGGAGCCTTTTCTATTTCTTGAAGCTTTTTGGCACTAAACTAAATTCTATTTGTACTAAGCTAGCTGAACTATTGAAATCTATAGAGTTTTTCGCCGTTCCACTCCTTCTGTAAAAAAGCTTTCATTTTCTACTACG